AATACTTGCTGCTTATAATTTCCACAGCAAAGGTTCTGTTCTGAACCTCTCTTTGTTCTTCATGCTTTTCTCCATATTTTTGGTAAAAACTTACTGTTTTCTAGTACATACTTATGGCACTGAATTACTAGTTTTATGTTGGTTGAAATAAGAATAACAACAAATCAAGCAGTGTATTCATCTGGTAACTATCTCCACAAACTGGCCTAATGCTTACATATACTTTGAATCAAACTTTAAGTTGTTTTGACATAATATAGACAGACACATTGTGGACAGAACAGCATTTTCTTATGTGCTCAGAAAAACAGAAACCTCATGAAGAGTAGGTAAATAATCTTTGACTAGAATCTTCCATGATTTGAATTAGAATATTGTTTCTTTAATCCTTACCAATATTAATCATTTCAGAGTGCTGTATTTAAAGACTAACTCATAAGTATCCTAGTTTTCTGCCATATCACTTGTACCAAAGGTATGCATCTGCTTCATGCAAGCTTGCATCCAGAACCAGCATATAGCTCCCACTTCGCCTCTGTCATTTCTCCACATTCTCTGGTACTACTAGTAGAAGCACCTGTGCAAATTACGGGCTCCCCTAGTGACTTCCAGTGTACTGCCGGGTGGTACAACAAAGAAATCAAGCCGGGAGTATCTAGAACTGGTCCCTGAAGGAGGTCATCCTGGAAGATGATGTCCAGTTGTCTATAGATTCTTTCAAATAAATTAGTTCACACATACTTAGCTGCAGTTTGCTCATATTGACAGAATCAGAGTCAACACAGCAAATAGTTTAAATCTATGTGTCAAATACAGAAGCTGGGCAGAGAAATAAACCCATAAGGCAAAAACCATGAAGTAGGCAATGACAAAATGGAATAAACAAGATGCTTAGGCAAGTTTTCCTAAGTTTTTGGAGGGTTGCTGTGTGATTTTTGTTTTTATTTTTTATTTTTTAAAAATATTTATTTATTTATTTATTTGAGAGAGAGAGTGCAGGTGGGGGGGGCGGTGCAGAGGGAGAGGAGGGAGAAAATCTCAAGCAGACTCCCCACAGAGCACGGAGCCCCACGCTGGGCTGGGTCCCATGACCCCTGAGATCATGACCTGAGCCGTGAGATTCTCTCCCTCTCCCTCTCCCCTCTCCCCACCCTCATTTTCATGCTCTCCCTCTCTAAAAACAAAGACAAAAAACAAACAAACAAAAAAAAAAAAAACACATGGGCTTCATGGGCTTAGAGCCCATGGGATTTATATATTCCCAGACAAGAGGACAGGAGGGAGAATAAATGACCTAGTAAACAGTTAAAATGTGTTTTGCTTTTTCCTTATGGGAACTCCTAAGGTTCTATATAAGAATGCTTTTAATCTTCAAAGAAACCCATGTTTTATAACTGAATTCCAGGTCCTACTTTAGCTTCAGATCAAAACTAGTTTTCCCACAGCTTGCTTCAGTATATTTTTAGTCCACACAAAGGAGAGCATAAAATGATTAAACAGGAACCTCCATGACCTTCAGCAACCACATCTGCTGGTTAACGCTGCCACAAAGGAAACCTCAGGTACCCATGTTTTCCCTGGAGATCTTAGACCTTGATTGGCATGCAGCTCAACAAAAGGCAAGAAGAAAGGTACCTGCCTGGCTCAGTGGTAGATGCTTCATCACAAGGTCACAGGAACTACAGGAATTCCCCAGTGTGGAAGATAGGTCTTCCCCTAGGTTCCCAGTCCGGAGGCCAGGACTCCCCAGGGCAAGCTGCGCTGCCTCAGACCCTGAAGACAGGTGCACGCTCAGGGGACCAGGAGAGGGCTGTGCTGAGGCCCTGGGAAAGAGTCAGGCCGAGTGCTCCTGAGGGACCCCAACACTTTGGGAACCACCCAGCCAGGGAAGAGGACTGGGGGTAGCTCAGCTCTGGAAGGACTTGATGTCCAGATTTCTGTGGTTTCCCTGATAGCTTCTGCCTTCAGGGCCTGCCAGGGGTCTCTACTTCTCAGAAGGTGGAGAGTGACCTGGGTAGATGGGCTGTCTTCCTGCCCTCAGCCTGGGAGTGGCTGATATCACCTTCTGCGAGGTTTTTTGCCATGGAGGTAACGTCAACAACCTGACCTGAATCCCCGCCATCCAAGAGAGGAAAAGTAACTGTCCATTCCAGGAGCCTGACAGCCAAGGAAAGAGTAGGGAATGGCATCATCGAGCATGCCCCATGTGATGGAAGAGGCAGAGAATTATAATACAGGAATTTAAGGCATGGCAAATGCTGCAGAGAAAAACTTCCTAAAGCTTAATTAGATGATGTTGGAACTAAGAAATTAAATAGAGGAATTTAAAAGGAGGATGGTTCCTACTGAGACTGAAATTAGTGAATTTGATATTAGTGGTCATGTGCAAAAAATATATTAGAACATTTAGCAAAAATATAAGAGGTTGAAATAAGAAAGACAAGAAAAGAGATTTGGAGGGTAAACTGTGCAGGCCTAATAGCCAAAGACAGTTCAAAAGGAAAAAAATATATATATTATACAATATTTAAGGAATATATAATTACTAAGGAATATGAGATTCACATCCCCCTTTGTTGAAGAAAAGTATAAATCTGTGAATTGAAATTACTCAAGTTTGAGACTGAGTTGATAAGAAAAGTTACCATCTAGACATATTCTGACCTAATAATATATATAAATGGAATGACTTGGGTATATTTATACAGTGGTAAGAAGCAAAGATAAATGGATGATATAATGTGACAAATGACATGCAAAATTAAAAGAAAGTCCAACTCCTTAACACCCTAAGATACTCCACCACTTCACTGTCTACACAAACACACAGCAACACCGCTCTCTAAGTGACATACAAGTCCCATGTCCATCTTTTAGGTCTTATGCCTTCTACCTACCAAGAATAATAAAGTACAGTCATCCAAAACTCAATTGCATTTACAATATTACAGTTTTGGAAAGATCAATTTCAATGTATTTTTGCATTTAGGAGAGGATTTTTATTGTAGTTTCTGTCAAAGAAAGAGCATTCTTACTATTGCTCAAGACCACAAATTAGGATCTTAATAATAAGAATGCTTCACATATTCAAGATTCTCTCCTCCCCTTGCCTGTTAAATCTTTGCAATGCATTTTCCATAACAAATATCACCGATAAAAAATGCATTACAATTTAAGTAATGAGAGGCTCTCTCCTGTGGGTCTTGAGATGTCTGATAGTACATTGGCGCTACAGGACTGAAGGAGCAGGGTGCCTTCATTTGGTACCTGCTCACTGTCTGTGCCATGCACACGTCTTATGGGTGTTCAGAAGAGACCATGCACACAGAGAAAAGAGCTGAGGCTTTCAGGTTGGCTATATATAGGTTTAAATCACAGCTGGGGGACCTCAGAATATGTATTTAGCATCCAGGAACCTCATTTTCCTCAAATGTGAAGTGGGGACAATGATAACCATCTTGAAAGACTCATAAAGACTATGAAATAGGCAGGTGTTATGTATGAATCACCTATCACAGGGCTGGTGGTGTGAGCATCTAGAACAGGCATATGTGGGCATAATGGGACCACAGCTTTTGTTTCCAGGACTTGAATCATCACTTCCATCGACAGCACAGCCTTTCATCATCATGGCCCACACCCTGCCATCCCATCTATTTTTTCCTCTACTCGGTGGGCTCAATGCCCATTCTGAAGATGGCAGAAAAAGCAAGAGGACTGTTACTACTTGCCATACATCTTGTTTTTCACATTGCCTCCCTGCATCCCATGTTTTGGAGAGCTGGAAATATTTCATTATTCCTGGCCATAATCACCAAGAATTTGAGGTGAGGGAAAGTACATCTCCTTCTCACTGTACTAAATGACTTTCTTCTCTGTCCCATAAAACCCACCATAGAGAAAAAGGAAACTGCAACTCAGATGTCACTGTTTTTGGATCAACATTCTCTCCTATTTCTAGTACTTGATTTTCCCACTCAGGAATGTTTGGGGCTAATAACATCTCTCCTGTGAATGCCAAGTACTACTTCTATGATGGCAGCTGCCTTTTTCTTCTTAGAGAACATCAGCGCTCCCCCAGGTCCATAGCCTCTATACATGGCAGGCACAAGGCCACTGTGGCCTGTATGTTGGTAGAGGCAAAAGAGACACAAGTGTGGTATCATGTGAAAGATATGTGCTCACATGTGGAACCACGGCATGTTCTGCTCAGAACCATCAAGTTCTTAGTTCATTTCTAGGTGTCAGCTGACATACATCCTTTCCCCAGCCCTAGGTTACCACTTACTCCAAGTTATCTGACACTCTTGAGCCATATTCTCATTTATTAAAGAAAAGTTAGAGCCACATTTCTTGAGGTATTGTGGTGACAAAATAGATGCATACAAAGCACCTTAGATAGAGTTTGGCTTATAAAAGGTGATATGGTAGACGTGGCAAATTATGTTGTATCACTAGAGAAAGTTCTCTATCAGGACATCCCCAAATTTCCAATGAACATGTGTGCAACATCATATGGAGACTAGATAGTCTAAACTAGCTGAGCTACTATGATTTTTTCTCCTCTTTGTGGCCAGCTGACCCCCAGGAAGCAGATATATCCAGTACCAAATGACTGGAGTTTGATGTTTGGCATAGTCATCTGAAGGGCGAGGAGAACTAGAGACCACCAAGTTCCACCCCATTCTGCTGGGCTCTCCCTGCTCTCCCAGGTCCCTCCCCCCTTATGACAAGCCCCACCCCGCTCTGCTGGGCCCCTCCTTCCCTGACAAGCCCCTCCCCATTCTGAGGAGACTGGATCCAAATGGAGGAGGGGAGGTGGAACGCGTTCCCGTAGTCCTCTCCAACATCCGTTTGATTCCTAAAGGGAAGAAAACCTGCTCTCGTGTGTTTTCCTCCGTGCACCTTTGTTGAAGGAGCCTAGTCTTTGACGTTAGAAATCACCCAAGCGCGCACACATGCAAATTCAGACAGGGCTAACGGTGTGCTCACTGACTGACCTTCACAGCAGTCTTGCCACACTCGCAGATCGACTTGAGGTATCTCACTGCAGCTCAGGTAATCCTGCGGGTATTGTGCCTTCACGAAGACATCGGCCTGGACTTGCTGGATGTTGTCACCATTGTCACAGAGCACGCGGCCCAGTGACGCCTGCTTTAGCTGAGTGAGCTGTGCGGGAGTGAACACCCCGGGGTTCTCATACCAGAACCTGGTGGTCAGCAAGGAGAGGCAGAGTGAGGGTCTTGGGCGGAGCACTGTACTGAGCTGCGTGCGGAGCAGTGATAACAGCACGGAAGAGCTCAGCAAAAGAGAAGCATATGTAAAGGATTATGTTTGTTCTCCAACTAAGCATGTTTGAACTGCCTCCAATATTTATAAAGTTCTTAAATCCCATGCTTTTGAACTATCGCTTTCTCTTCAACCTTTACAAAATGATTCAAAGTAAAGCTTTATAAAGTTTTAAAAGATTTTTTAAAAGCACGTTTTCTAATCTTAAAATTCCATAAACTGCTTTTAGAAATTACCTGAACAGTTTAATATTGACATGTTTGTCTAAAAGGGAAATGTTGCTTTGTAATTATTAATACACACTAGCTTATTATATCTATTGGTTAATTAGAATGAACACATTCGGTTTCAAATGAAACCATACAGTTTAAAAACATTATTAAAGTGAGCCCTTGTTCATTCCTTCAAGAAGTATTTCAGTACCATATGCCAAGCACTTTTCTCATGCTAGGAATACAACATATGATAAGAAGCAAAAGACTGTTGCCACTCACATGGCATATGGGTTGACTTGTGTCCCCTCAAAATTTATATTCTGAAATCCTAGCCCCCAGTACTTCAGAATGTGACTTTATTTGGAGACGGGTCTATTAAAGAGGTAGTTAAGTAAAAATAAGTCATTAGAGTGTCATGGGGGAATTAAGGTCATAATCCGATATGATTAGTCTCCTTATAAGGAAAGGAAATATGGACACAGAAAGGTACAGAGGGAAGACTATGTGGAGAGAAAGGGAGAAGTTGGCCATCTACAAGACAAGGAGAAAGGTCTCTGTAGGGACCAACACTCCCAACCTTTACCTAGACTCCAGAACTGTGTGACAGTACATTTGTAATTTAAGCCACTCAGTCTTTTGGATTTTGTTATGGTAGCCATAGTAAACTAATACAAATGGGGAAGGCAGCTTACATCAAAAAAACCAAAGCTTTCCCAAATTTATTTACTTTTTAACTACTATCAATTGAACATAGCCCAACTATGTGTGGCAATAAATCCAGAGTGCTAAAACTAATTTATAAAAATTAAAATGAAATATTATACTATGAATGTTTGCCAATGTGCAATTAAAGGAATTAAATCTGTTCCTACTTTCTTTATAATTCATAAGAAGAGATTGGGAAGAAAAATTTAAGTAAAGAATAATTTTTAGTATAACTTTAATTAAAAACTAAGTTCTAGGGGACACCTGGGTGGCTCAGCCTTCAGCTCAGGTCATGATCCCAGGGTCCTGGGATCAAGCCCCTCATTGGGCTCCCTGCTCTGCAGGGAGTCTGCTTCTCCCTCTGCCTGCCACTCTCCCTGCTTGTGCTCTCTCACCTCTCTCTCTCTTCCCCTTTCTGACAAATAAATAAAAAAATCTTAAAAAAATAAGTTCTAGATAGTGTTTTAAGTCATTATAGATGATAGATAGATAGACAGATGATAGATAGATGATATAGATATAGATACACACATGTCTGCAATAATCAAAAGGTTGAATTGTCAAACAGGTTCACAAGACTCCTAGCTCTTACTCAAGACTATACTAATGATTCAGAAGATACAGCGAGTGCCCTGGAACACATTTGGTTCAAGTAAGAAAGGAGAGCTAATAGTGTGTCCCATGCCAACCCAGTGGGGGCTGCTTAGCTTTTCAGTTTTCTTAGTTTTTATACTTGGTTAGCCTTGCAAGAAAGATATCACGTGAACTTACATCTCCAGCCAGCTGTCTGTCATAATTTCATCAAGTCAGGTTGATTTACAGTAAACACTTCAGATAAACCAAGAGATCTTTACAAAGAATTCCCAGTTATCTTTCTCCTACTAAATGCCCTTAGCACGGTTTTGCAAGGAGATCTAGTATTGGGTCAACAGGTCTTCCATGAGGATGAAGAGATGCAGCTGCAGGCCTGCTGTCAACTCCTGCCGGCCAACGTCATTCACAGTTGCCACAGTCTATGAGCCCTAGGTCCTACTGTTAATCAGACTTCACAGATGAGGCAACAGGTTTCAGGTGTTATGCTTCTTAAGGTTAAATAGTTTCGAGTAGGTGTGCCCAGATTTAAACACAGGGTAGTAAGTCTAGTGCATCCTTTTAACCACTGACTTCTATGCCTTTCCTAGACAGTCTATTTCTTTTTTTCTTACAAAGATTTATAAAAATTTATAAAAAGGAGTGCTATCTGGTATTATCAGTAGTCAGAAAAATGCTGTGAGCAGATACTATTTGTTATTTCTCATATTCAAAATATTTTAAATCATAGAAAGCATGAACTCACACTCATAATGTTATTGTACACCTATATTTTGGGGCAAAAAACAATTTTGTTAGCTTTGATAAGTATAACAGATAATTCTTCACCTATCTCCATCTCTTAGCCGCTGAAACTGGGTAACAAACAGGCACATAAGTGTTGGTCCCACTCTCGTACCAGGGATCGGGTCTTCAACCATGAGGGCAGGCCAGAAGTCAATGTCGCCTGGCGAGCCGTACAACCTGAAACAAAGATGTGCAGATGTCACATGCTGGGGTGTGAAAATGACAATGACAGTATTATTTATACAAATGACTACAGAGCATTTTTTTAAAATTTATACACACTAAAAAGAAAGGCAGAGATTATTAGTATTCCCATTTCACAGGTAATACTTTGAGATGATAGAAGAATTCAGGGATCACCTAGCTGGCCAGGGAACAGAGAAGTGACCTAACCAAGAGCATTTAACCCCAGTCATGTAACATCCACTGTGTCCTTTATAATTACTCCATAAGTATATGGAATATAACTCTGTGTGTGTGTGTGTGTGTGTGTAGATCTATATCCAACTAATTTGTTCAGAAATAAGTAACAAATAAACTAATTAGCTAACTATTAAAAAATGTCCATGTCAGTGTATATGGTAAGTAGGTTAAACAGAGTGAAAAAATAATCTGTGGAAATAATATAATGTGTTAGATAAATTTTCTCTTGCTAAAAAGACAATGATATTTGATTTGGGATCTGAAGTGATTTTTTAAAATTAAAAAAATCATAATGTAAATGACAATTAAGCAAACAGCTTTGGATAAACCATCCATTTAAAGAAAATTAGACCAGTACCCGTGAAACTCCTTGGAGAGCCCCTGAGACTGTTTTGCCCCGTCCCAAGGATAAACATGGGAACAACTTGACCTGTCCCATATGTTACTTTAACATTTTATTTCATGTGTATGATTCCACAGTCTGCATATAGTCCAGCTTCATATGTTTTAACCTTGACACAGATGGAAACATCATGTTCATACTTCCTTTGTTTCACTCAACTGTTTATTCCTGTTGTTGCATACATCTGCATGCTTTTCTCTGCTCCATTGTAGCCCACTGGATATTCTCCCAATTTAGTTGTCTGCTCTACTGGTGATGAATATTTGTGGTGTTTTCAGCTTTTTACTATAAACATTCTCATACATGTTTCTTAATACAGACAAAGGCCTTTCTAGGCCAGGCATCAGCAAATTTTACAACAAAGGATAGGATTGTAAATATTTTCAGCATTGTGGGCTACCTTTTGCAATTATTCAACTCCCCTTTTTCACAAAAGCAGCCAAAGACAACACATAAAAAATGGACAGTTTTGTTCCAATAAACCTTTACTTAGAAAATCAGGCAGTAGGTTAGATTTGGTCAATGGGCTGTGGTTTGCAGATCCCTGCTCTAGAATATGCTGATGCTAAAGTTTCAAATGCTGAGTGTGGAGGATGACATTTTTAATTTTAATAGATAATGCCAAATTGCTGTCCAAAACATATGTATAGTTCATACTCTCATAATGAGCATACAGAAGTTCTCTGTGATGCATATCTTTAATTTTAATAGATAGTGTCCTTGGCATATTGAATTTATTCTTCAATTTTTTTTTGTTTAGTCAAATCTCTTTGCTGCTGCCTTTCTTCTCCTTCCCCCACCTCCTCCTTCCTTCCCTTCCCCCTTGTACCCCTCTCCATCCTCCCCCTCCTGCTCCTTCTCCTCATCCTCCTGCATTTCTTTTCTTAATTTCTGATGATAGCTGGGCTTTTTATATCTCCAAGTACTTGTTTGAGTGTTTGAGTGCTTGTTTAATTCAGATTCAAGTGTTGTATTATAGATTCCTTCTGTTTCAATTATTTTTTCCCCTGGAAGAATTTTTCTTTGAAATGTTTTGATTTGCATTTTTGTTTTCTTGCTACATAGCTTTATTTGAAATAAGCTTTCTCTCTCTCTCTCTCTCTCTTTTATTTCTAGGCATTTCATGAAATGGCTTTCTAGTTCAGTACCATACTCTTCTGTTACTGCAGTGAAGTAAAGCATCTTTGGTTGAGGTGTTGGTGGCAATGGGAGACAGTAGGCATTGATGGGTTTTATTTCTCTTTCATTCTTACAGTATTCTTAATTTCACTTCATTTTGATTTAGCTTCCTATCATATCTGAAGGGGTGCTATCCCTTCTTTACTTATCTTCTGTCCCCAAAACATGGCTAACTCTGGTTGCTTTCAGCCATGTGACTGGTGTTGTGGACTCCTGGGTTCTAGAGCTACATTTGGTGATTTAACGCTTATTGTTGACCTGTGTCCTTCTAGAGAGATTTCTTTTTTTTTTCCTCATAGTTCATCTATATACCCTGATCCCCTTTCTTTTTTTTTTTTTTAAAGATTTTATTTATTTATTTGAGAGAGAGAGAATGAGAGATAGAGAGCAAGAGAGGGAAGTGGGTCAGAGGGAGAAGCAGGCTCCCCGCTGAGCAGGGAGCCCGATGCGGGACTCGATCCCAGGACTCCAGGATCATGACCTGAGCCGAAGGCAGTCGCTTAACCAACTGAGCCACCCAGGCGCCCACCCTGATCCCCTTTCTTATGTCCACAAAGATTTTTAAGTTCTCCATCCTTCTCTCCATGCCCACAGACTTGCTGTGGAAGTGGAGCTTCGATGGCAGCTCTGTTGGAACTTGGTGATGATTTTCAGACTTAAAATAATTTGAAATTCATGATTTTCTTGTCTCCTACTAATTCTAAACGTATGAGTCTTGTTATTTGGTGTGTCCTCTTCATCAGACTCATAGTTTTATAGGACGCCATGTTAAGAGATTTAAAATCAGATGACCATTTGTTATTTTTCTAAGACTAAGTTGAAATTATGCCTACTTTGTAAAATTTGTGCTAATCTCATGGAAGTAAAATAGTGTTTCATTATGATTTTTCATTATCCTGATTATTTTGTTGAGCATCTGCTATATATTGATTGGGCAATCTTTTTTTTTTCACATAAAATGCCTATTTATACCATGTCTTTTCCCCATTTTTTCTATTGGGTTATAATTTCCTGTCTTACTTTAGGAGTTCTGTATATATTCGGGATGCTAATGCATTGTTATGTATTCTCAAATGTATTCCTCAAATTTGGGACTTTTTTTAAAGATTTATTTATTTATTTATTTGAAGGGGGAGGGGCAAAGGGAAAGGGAGAGAGAGAGACTCTCAAGCAGACTCCACACTGAGTGCAGAGTCCAAGGCAGGACTTGATCCCAGGGCCCTGATATCATGACCTGAGCCAAATTCAAGTCAGATGCTTAACAAACTGAGCCACACAGGTGACCCAATAGGACTTTTTGTATTAATTACTCTCATTATGTCAGACTTTGATGAAAATATTGTCTTCCTTTTAAGGTCACTTTTAACAATTTTTATGGGGTTTTTTTGCTATTAATATAATTATATTCTTTTCAATATCTATTTATTTTTTGAATTTCATTATGTTATGTTAATCACCATACATTACATCATTAGTTTTTGATGTAGTGTTCCATGATTCATTGTTTGCATATAACACCCATTGCTCCATTCAGTACGTGCCCTCTTTAATACCCACCACCAGGCCAACCCATCCCCCTCCCCCCTCCCCTCTAGAATCCTCAGTTTCTTTCTCAGGGTCCCTAGTCTCTCATGGTTCATCTCCCCATCCAATTTACCACCTTCATGTTTCCCTTCCTGCTATCTTCTTTTTTTTTTTTAACATATAATGTATTATTTGCTTCAGAGGTACAGTTCTGTGATTCAATAGTCTTAACAATTCACAGTGCTCACCATAGCACATACCCTCCCCAATGTCTATCCCCCATCCACTCCATCCCTCCCACGCCACACCATCCAGAAACCCTCAGTTTGTTTCCTGAGATTAAAAATTCCTCATATCAGTGAGATCATATGAGACATGTCTTTCTCTGATTGACATATTTTGCTCAGCATAACACCCTCCAGTTCCATCCACATCAGTTCAAATGGCAAGATTTCATTCCTTTTGATGGCTCTGTAATATTTCATTGTATATACATACCACATTTTCTTTACCCATTCATCTGTCAATGGACATCTTGGCTATTTCCATACTTTGGCTATTGTGGACAATGCTGCTATAAACATTGGGGTGCATGTACCCCTTCGGATCCCTACATTTGTATCTTTGGGATAAATACCCAGTAGTACAAATGCTGAGTCCGTATGGTAGCTCTATTTTCAATAGAACCTCCATACTGTTTTCCAAAGTGGCTGCACTTCCCACCAACAGTGTAGGAGGGTTCCCTTTTCTCCGCATGCCCACCAACATCTGTCATTTCCTGACTTGTTATTTTTAGCCATTCTGACTGGTGTGAGGTGGTATCTCATTGAGGTTTTGATTTGGATTTCCCTGATGCCGAGCGATGTTCAGCACTTTTTCATGTCTGTTGGCCATTTGGATGTCTTCTTTAGAAAAAAAAAATCTGTTCATGTCTTCTGCCCATTTCTTGATTGGATCATTTGATCTTTGGGTGTGGAGTTTGATAAGTTCTTTATAGATTATGGATACTAGCCCTCTATCTGATATGTCATTTGCAATTATCTTCTCCCAGTCTGTCAGTTGTCTTTTAGTTTTGTTGACTGTTTCTTTTGCTGTGCAGAAGCTTTTTATCTTGATGAAGTCCCAATAGTTCATTTTTGCCCTTCCTTCCCTTGCCTTTGGTGATGTTTCTTGGAAGAAGTTGCTGCGGCTGAGGTTGAAGAGGTTGCTGCCTGTGTTCTCCTCAAAGATTTTGATGGAATCCTGTCTCACATTCAGGTCTTTCAAACATTTTGAGTCTATTTTTGTGTGTGGTTAAGGAAATGGTGAATTTCATTCTTCTGCATGGGGCTGTCCAATTATCCCAACACCATTTGTTGAAGAGACTATCTTTTTTCCATTGGACATTCTTTCCTGCTTTGTCGAAGATTAGTTGACCAAAGAGTTGAGGGTCCATTTCTGGGTTTTCTATTCTGTTCCATTGATCTATGTGTCTGTTTTTGTGCCAGTACCATACTGTCTTGATGATGACAGCTTTGTAATAGAGTGGAAGTCCAGAATTGTGATGCCACTGGCTTTGCTTTTCTTTTTCAACATTCCTCTGGCTATTCGGGGTCTTTTCTGGTTCCAAATAAATTTTAGGATTATATGTTCCATTTCTTTGAAAAAA